TGCAGCTCTGTCAGCTTCAGTCTCCCATGCAGAGCTCGGAGCGCATGTGTGGCTCTGCACCCTTAGCAGCGTTGCTAACTCCTCAGTAAGGAAAGCCTGCTTCATGTCAGAGTCTCTAAACTCCAGAAGAAGTCGATAAAAGTCCCTTTCTTTCTAAAAAAAAGTCGTTAGGGGGTCTGAAAAGTCATTGAAACTAACAACAAAGTCGCTAGGTTTGCAACTACGTGTCCCAGACTGCATCCCTGCTGGGAGTCCCTCCCTCGCTTCTCATGTTGCAGGAAGAACGTAAGCGCCCTCCCCTTGTCAATCAGTCACCATATAATTTTGGATTGGTTGTTGTGGTGAAGTTTTCCACCAATAGGAGAGATGTTGTGGTGTGTTTTTTTTTTCTTTTGGCAAGCCTTTTCCGCCTGTAAGACCTGTCGCTAATGTCTGCATGCTATGTTTTCCTGTCTCATACAGCGCGATCGAGCGCCGAACGTGATCAAAATAAGCAGAAAAAAAGTATCGCGGACATAATTTATCATAACTCTGGTTTTATTTGGCCTATCAACACAATTTAAAAACTGGTATATAGGTTGAGGTCCTCACTTTTGAGATAAGTTGAAATGGAGAGTCAACGAGGCTCCGTCTTGCAGCTACATCCGGTTAAATATGTCATGTGACTTGAACGCACACACAGACACACACACACGCACGCACACACACACACACACACACACACACACACTCAGAGTCTGGTTTTTAGCACCTGCAAAAACATGCTATTTACATATTTGACAAGAATGCAGAGGCTCCTTTGCCCCTGAAAAAAATCAAATTTCAAACACAACTTGACTGGTCATTTCTCCAAAAGACAACCATGAAGCTCCATCCAAACCTGAAGCAGGCAGTTGGTGCATGTGTACAGTAACCTGAGGGGAGTGAGGTGAGTGCTTCTGAGGAGAACATGAGCAGTGAAGATTCACCTTAGAGCTAGAACAGAGACGTGCACATGATTATACAGGGGCAGGGGCTCAAGTTTTTTCCAGTCGTTTATACAATATGGAAATTAATGTGAAATTAAAACACAAAGTATTAATAGAAAGGTAATGACTGTCCTGTGTAGGTGACAGTGATATCCAATAGGCTAGGCACTCACGAGGCTGGCTGTGGCAAGTGTAAGTGAAAGCAACACGCACTGGCAGGAAGAACAGCAAACGCCGATGAAGGAAAAGGGTCTTTGCAGTGATGGGCGTTACCAGAGAGGGCGATGGCCAGAGGACACAAATGGGACGGGGAGGCAGCACGTTGGGGGGGGGGGGGGGCGACACGGCTCGGGCCCGCCAGTGCCCCAACGGGGTCCTAGTTATTATTTTTCCTCCGCTTTAAACTGGAAAATGGCCCACTTCCCACTGGCGAAAACTCATGAAATTTGGCAGGACGACCGGGCCTGGTGAAAAATTCGATATTCTGAAGTCGCCCAAACAAGAAAATGCAAAATGGCTCCATAGCGCCCCCTAAGGTGAAAATTCACACTATTGACTGTCACGCCTGTACGCTTTGTCATATTGACACAAAAATTGACACACACATGTATCTCAATAAGATCTACAAAAAAGTCAGTGCGGGCGTATCTGTCAAATGTACGGTTAAAGGGTTATTTTGCATTTTTTGCAGATCCGCACACATTGGAATTTCGCTAACTCCTCCGAAGGCTTTCGTTCCACCGGCACCACATTTGCTCAGGCCAATCTACACTCCATGGCCATTCAAAGTTGTACAAATCATAATGCTGCACCCCATGGTTTAGGTTCTAGGGGGCGCCAAAAATAACCCAAAAATCCACATTCTTAAAAGTTTTATAATTTTTTTTTTTTGTCCTCACTGGCCTCCAAGTTTTCTAGGATGATGCAATGTCCAGCCATCAACACATTTGTGAAGGAATTTTTACTCCCCAAAAGAGCGCCCCCCCATGGCAGGAATAAAAAGTCCATTTTTTCTTGTCCCCTAAGGTAAAAATACACATTGTTGAGTGTCACCTGTACGCTTTGTCGTATTGACAAAAAATTTGACACACACGTGTATCTCAATAAGATCTACGAAAAAGTCAATGGGCGCGTATCTGTAAAATGTACGGCTAAAGGGCTATTTTGCATTTTTTGCCGATTCGCACACATTGGAATGTGGCTAACTCCTCCTAAGGCTTTCGTCCCACTGACACCAAATTTGCTCAGGCCAATCTACACCCCATGGCCATTCAAAGTTGTAAAAATCATGCCGCTGCACCCCATGGTTTACGTTCTAGGGGGCGCCAAAGATGACCCAAATATCCACATTCTTAAAAGTCGTTTTGGCCACTGCAGGAGTACAGAGTACTGCAGGATACACACACACAGACACACACACACACAGACACACACACACACACACACACACAGAGACACACACACACACACACACTCAGAGTCTGTTTTTTAGCACCTGCAAAAACATGCTATTTACATATTTGACAACAATGCAGAGGCTTCCTTTTGCCCCTGAAAAAAATCAAATTTCTAACACAACTTGACTGCTCATTTCTCCAAAAGACAACCATGAAGCTCCATCCAAACCTGAAGCAGGCAGTTGGTGCATGTGTACAGTAACCTGAGGGGAGTGAGGTGACTGCTTCTGAGGAGAACATGAGCAGTGAAGATTCACCTTGGAGCGAGAACAGGGACGTGCACATGATTATACGGGGGCAGGGGCTCAAGTTTTTTCCAGTCGTTTATACAATATGGAAATTAATGTGAAATTAAAAAACAAAGTATTAATAGAAAGGTAATGACTGTCCTGTGTAGGTGACAGTGATATCCAATAGGCTAGGCACTCACGAGGCTGGCTGTGGCAAGTGTAAGTGAAAGCAACACGCACTGGCAGGAAGAACAGCAAACGCCGATGAAGGAAAAGGGTCTTTGCAGTGATTGGTGTTACCAGAGAGGACGATGGCCAGAGGACGCGAATGGGACGGGGAGGCAGCGCGTTGGGGGGGGGGGGGGGGGCGACACAGCTCGGGCCCGCCAGTGCCCCAACGGGGCCCTAGTCTTCTTCTTCTTCTTATTAGGGCCCGAGCGTAGCTGCTAAGCAGCTGCGAGAGCCCTCTTGTTCCTGATGGATTCTTCTTTCGTTATTTTTCCTCCGCTTTAAACTGGAAAATGGCCCACTTCCCACTGGCGAAAACTCAGGAAATTTGGCAGGACGACCGGGCCTGGTGAAAAATTCGATATTCTGAAGTCGCCCAAACAAAAAAATGAAAAATGGCTCCATAGCGCCCCCTATGGTGAAAATTCACCTGACGCCTGTACGCTTTGTCAAAATGACACAAAATTTGACACACATGTGTATCTCAATAAGACCTACAAAAAAGTCAGTGCGGGCGTATCTGTCAAATGTACCGTTAAAGGGCTATTTCGCATTTTTTGCCGATCCGCACACATTGGAATTTCGCTAACTCCTCCGAAGGCTTTCGTTCCACTGGCACCAAATTTGCTCAGGCCAATCTACACCCCATGGCCATCAAAAGTTGTACAAATCATGACGCTGCACCCCACGGTTTACGTTCTAGGGGGCGCCAAAGATAACCCAAAAATCCACATTCTTAAAAGTCTTATAACTTTTTATTTTTGTCCTCACTGGCCTCCAAGTTTTCTAGGATGATGCAATGTCCAGCCATCAACACATTTGTGAAGGAATTTTTACTCCCCAAAAGAGCGCCCCCCCATGGCAGGTGAAAAAAGTCCATTTTTTCTTGTCCCCTAACATGAAAATACACATTGTAGAGTGTCACGCCTGAACGCTTTGTCATATTGACACAAAATTTGACAATCACGTGTATCTCAATAAGATCTACGAAAAAGTCAAAGAGCGCGTATCTGTATAATGTACGGTTTAAGGGCTATTTCGCATTTTTTGCCGATCCGCACACATTGGAATTTCGCTAACTCCTCCAAAGGCTTTCGTTCCACCGGCACCAAATTTGCTCAGGTCAATCTACACCCCATGGCCATTAAAAGTTGTACAAATCATGACGCTGCACCCCACGGTTTAGGTTCTAGGGGGCGCCAAAGATAACCCAAAAATCCACATTCTTAAAAGTCTTATAACTTTTAATATTTGTCCTCACTGGCCTCCAAGTTTTCTAGGATGATGCAATGTCCAGCCATCAACACATTTGTGAAGGAATTTTTACTCCCCAAAAGAGCGCCCCCCCATGGCAGGAGAAAAAAGTGCATTTTTTCTTGTCCCCTAAGGTGAAAACACACATTGTAGAGTGTCATGCCTGAACGCTTTGTCATATTGACACAAAATTTGACAATCACGTGTATCTCAATAAGATCTACGAAAAAGTCAAAGAGCGCGTATGTGTATAATGTACGGTAAAAGGGCTATTTTGCATTTTTTGCCGATTTGCACACATTGGAATGTGGCTAACTCCTCCTAAGGCTTTCGTCCCAATGACACCAAATTTGCTCAGGCCAATCTACAACCCATGGCCATTCAAAGTTGTAAAAATCATGACGCTGCACCCCACGGTTTACGTTCTAGGGGGTGCCAAAGATGACCCAAAAATCCACATTCTTAAAAGTCATTTTGGCCACTGCAGGAGTAAAGAGTACTGCAGTTCTAGGGGGCGCCAAAGATGACCCAAAAATCCACATTCTTAAAAGTCTTTTTGGTCACTGCAGGAGTACAGAGTACTGCAGGATACACACACACACACACACACACACACACACACACACACACACACACACACACACACACACACACACTCAGAGTCTGTTTTTTAGCACCTGCAAAAACATGCTGTTTACATATTTGACAAGAATGCAGAGGCTTCCTTTTGCCCCTGAAAAAAATCAAATTTCAAACACAACTTGACTGTTCATTTCTCCAAAAGACAACCATGAAGCTCCATCCAAACCTGAAGCAGGCAGTTGGTGCATGTGTACAGTAACCTGAGGGGAGTGAGGTGACTGCTTCTGAGGAGAACATGAGCAGTGAAGATTCACCTTGGAGCGAGAACAGGGACGTGCACATGATTATACAGGGGCAGGGGCTCAAGTTTTTTCCAGTTGTTTATACAATATGGAAATTAATGTGAAATTAAAAAAACAAAGTATTAATAGAAAGGTAATGACTGTCCTGTGTAGGTGACAGTGATATCCAATAGGCTAGGCACTCACGAGGCTGGCTGTGGCAAGTGTAAGTGAAAGCAACACGCACTGGCAGGAAGAACAGCAAACCCCGATGAAGGAAAAGGGTCTTTGCAGTGATGGGCGTCACCAGAGAGGACGATGGCCAGAGGACGCGAATGGGACGGGGAGGCAGCGCGTTGGGGGGGGGCGCGACACAGCTCGGGCCCGCCAGTGCCCCAACGGGGCCCTAGTTATTTTTCTGCCCCTTTGAACTGGAAAATGGCCCACTTCCCACTGGTGAAAAGTCATGAAATTTGGCAGGACGACCGGGCCTGGTGAAAAATTCGATATTCTGAAGTCGCCCAAAAAATCAAATGCAAAATGGCTCCATAGCGCCCCCTAAGGTGAAAAATTCACATGATTGAGTGTCACGCCTGTACGCTTTGTCAAAATGACACAAAATTTGACACACACGTGTATCTCAATAAGATCTACAAAAAAGTCAGTGCGGGCGTATCTGTCAAATGTACGGTTAAAGGGCTATTTCGCATTTTTTGCCGATCCGCACACATTGGAATTTCGCTAACTCCTCCGAAGGCTTTCGTTCCACCGGCACCAAATTTGCTCAGGCCAATCTACACCCCATGGCCATTAAAAGTTGTACAAATCATGACGCTGCATCCCACGGTTTACGTTCTAGGGGGCGCCAAAGATAACCCAGAAATCCACATTCTTAAAAGTCGTATAACTTTTTATTTTTGTCCTCACTGGCCTCCAAGTTTTCTAGGATGATGCAATGTCCAGCCATCAACACATTTGTGAAGGAATTTTTACTCCCCAAAAGAGCGCCCCCCCATGGCAGGAGAAAAAAGTCCATTTTTTCTTGTCTCCTAAGGCGAAAATTCACACTATTGACTGTCACGCCTTTACGCTTTGTCATATTGACACAAAAATTGACACACACATGTATCTCAATAAGATCTACAAAAAAGTCAGTGCGGGCGTATCTGTCAAATGTACGGTGAAAGGGCTATTTCGCATTTTTTGCCGATCCGCACACATTGGAATTTCGCTAACTCCTCCGAAGGCTTTCGTTCCAAAGGCACCACATTTGCTGAGGCCAATCTACACCCCATGGCCATTAAAAGTTGTACAAATCATGACGCTGCACCCCACGGTTTACGTTCTAGGGGGCGCCAAAGATAACCCAAAAATCCACAGTCTTAAAAGTCTTATAACTTTTTATTTTTGTCCTCACTGGCCTCCAAGTTCTCTAGGATGATGCAATGTCCAGCCATCAACACATTTGTGAAGGAATTTTTACTCGCCAAAAGAGCGCCCCCCCATGGCAGGAGAAAAAAGTCCATTTTTTCTTGTCTCCTAAGGCGAAAATACACATTGTTGACTGTCACGCCTTTACGCTTTGTCAAAATGACACAAAATTTGACACACACATGTATCTCAATAAGATCTACAAAAAAGTCAGTGCGGGCGTATCTGTCAAATGTACGGTTAAAGGGTTATTTCGCATTTTTTGCCGATCCGCACACATTGGAAATTCGCTAACTCCTCCTAAATCTTTTGTCCCATCGGCTTCAAATTTGCTCAGGTCAATCTACACCCCATGGCCATTCAAAGTTGTACAAATCATGACGCTGCACCCCACAGTTTACGTTCTAGGGGGCGCCAAAGAGGACCCAAATATCCACATTTTTAAAAGTCTTATAACTTTTTATTTTTGTCCTCACTGGCCTCCAAGTTTTCTAGGATGATGCAATGTCCAGCCATCAACACATTTGTGAAGGAATTTTTTCTCCCCAAAAGAGCGCCCCCCCATGGCAGGAGAAAAAGTCAAGTTTTTCCTGCCCATCGCTCAATGGCTCAAACGCATCGCTCTCTCTGCAAAACCGAAAGGAGGAGCAACTTGCCATTTGGATATATACTAGCTGTGTTTGTGCCCTCACTCATGGTCCAGACTTTTTTCAAATAGGACATGTAGTTTGTCTGCAGCGAGCGTTTTGGTAGAAACTGCGCCTCCCATTCATTATAATGGGAAATGACCACAGACAAGTGCGCACACCATCTTTTGACCTTGAGTGTGACGCGATCGGGAAGGGGAGGCGGTCGCGCTGGGGGCGGCGCGACGCGGCTCGGGCCCGACAGTGCCCCACCGGGGCCCTAGTTACTTTTCCTCCTGGATCATCAGTGAAAATATCAGCTCTCATCTTTCACCCCATGTGCTCTGATGCACTCAGCTCCTTTTACCGTCTTACTCACTTGTCATGCACTTTCTCAGCTGTTGGGATAAATATTTCATCTACAAAAATATCAGCTCCAGAAAAAAATAAACTTCAAATATTTCCGGACCAGAAGTGAAAACACTCCCACTCATCGCATCACTGTCGTCTAAAGCTCGACTAAGTGGGTTGAAAAAAAAAAAAAATGTCTACAAGGAGGGCAAAGTGGGTGAAGCAAAATGTCATGTGGCTTCCTAATGACAACTGTGAGTATAACAAGTGCATTTGAACATCTCGAAGTGTTAGTGCTGGAGGAGTGAGAGAGAAGACACATTTCGGATTCGCTTTTCATTGAACGTGTGGTATGCAGCACAAATTATCTACCATCTATCACATGCATTTTTAGATGCGTCTATGCAGGGCTCACTGTATAATGCTTACATAGTGTAAACAGACTTACAGTAATTTACAGCAACAACACCACGGGGAGATTTTGTCAGCATAAATAAACCCACATGTGAGGCTGAGATAAGCAACCTGATGTATAAAAGTAAGTACAGATTGGATAAGGTAGAGGCAGGCATAATTGATGCGCTGCCTAATCCGAGCAAAAGCTGCATAAATACAACACTGCACAGTCTCTGGTGAGGCTGTTTGTGCATTCAACACTGATTTTCAGTCTGGATTGTAGGAGTTGTATTATGTTCCTGTGTTTTCTTTTATTTTCCTTTTAGGTATGATTACATTATTCAAAATATTCTCTTTTTAATATTAATTTATACCACCAATTAGATTGAACTGACCAGACTAACACACGAAAAATATGGTCCTGGCTGTAACTTGCCAAGCCACTGGTTTCAACAAAACAACAGATTTGACTTATTGACTTTCTTTACTCAATATTTAAAGGCCCTGTGAGGAGTTTTTAGTCAGCTTTGAAATGGACTGATATTCATAGTGACGCCTCGTATGACCCCAAACCCATCAGTTACCGTCTGCTCAAACTTTTCAGTGCTTTTAGTGTTGTCAGCTGTCAGCAATAAAGAACTTTTGACTCTTTTGTCCATATGTTGCACTGTGTATACAGACCAACAAGGGACAGCGAGAAAACCAATGCCTGGGGAAATGCTGGTCAATGGTAATACACATATACAATAAATTGAGCTCCTTTACATACCAGAGACATGAACATTTCAGGGTCTCTCACCTGGAAATTGACCTGACTTTACTGGACACACATACGGTTTCAGGAGGCCGATCATGACGCCATATAGACCTCAGGTATAGTCAGGATTAGATGTTTACAACACTATACTAGATTAAAACCACTGATCCTTAAATGTAGTTCCTCCAGAAGTTTAAACTTACTGTACTCTTTATTTTTCTTTCCCTCTCAAGCCTGATACGATTGATCAAAGTTTATTAAAAACATAGAGAGACAGATAAGTACGTACACTCTAATGGCAGTTTTTTCTTCTTTTTTTTTTAGCTTTCCATTAACGTGACAAGGAACTGAATGAATCCACATTGTCAACAGATCAGTGAAATGAACATACTAGAGAGGGGAAGTTAATGTAAGGCCAACTCACTTTTTAGACAGTATTCTTATCCTGGTGTGTATGGCTTCTGAGTTGTGCCACTAAGCGGCTCTACTTATGTGCCGAGCTTGTCACCCATGGGAGTATTATTTGATTGAAAACGTCAGACTTTTACCTTGAAATCTTAATGGTGGATTCTGTTCTCGTTCACTCGAGTAATTTTAGGAATATTTCAGGATTTCTGCACCTGTTGCAAAGGAGCAAATGAAACATGCATAATGTGTCAACAGAGATTACTCCACCTCAAACCATTTAAAAATCTTAAAATAATGAACTGTGTAAATATAAGCACAATCACTTTCATGTACTCAGAGACTGATTATGATCATAACACCTTATGTTGACGCTACAAATCCATCAGCAAACTAAAGAGGAGCTTTTCAAACTGAGACATGATCACTCAGTGTGCTAGCTAAGTGCAGCTGCCAGTGCCAATGACATTTTACATCAAACCCATCATATGTAAGCAACGAACCATGGAAGCATCAAATGAGTTGTGTTAAACGATGCACATCAATTACAGCCTCTAGTTATTAACCGACTGTAAATATTTTCTCGATTATTGTCCTTTGGATAAACAAAGAGGGATTCTCTGAGTAAGTGGGACAGCTGCCAGAATATCTTCTGCAGAGGTGATCAAGAGGAGTGGGTTGCTTCACTAGAATAGCCTTGTATGACACTTGGGAAAAAAAATATGTATTGTGGATATGACTGATGCCAACATAAAGCAAGACATATTTCATCTTGATTTCCTTTATTATGGTGAACAGTGCCTGCTTTTATGCTGTGGAGTCATTACACATGTTATTCACCATTAAGCGCATCTCATGCTAATGAGATTCAAGCGTATAGCTGTTTATATAATGCCTCAGTGGATATGGATCTATGTTACAACCTTGAAAAAGAGAGACCGGATGATGATCACATGAAACATTAATGATGACAATGTCTGAAATGGAGCGTTGCTTTAATTAAGAATGTATGCACAAACAAAATAGCTGTATGCTTTGTCCGTTTGTGTCTCTGAGTTGTGTATCTACAAACTCTGGATCAAAAATTTAAAATATTTTGCTTGGAGCTGGACTTTGCAATGAGAAATGTGTTAGTTCCTGTTGTGCTCTGCTTGTTATTCAAGTAATATTGACACATCTTTTAAAAGAAAACAGGGTTTAGTCAAATGTGGGCAGAATGCAATGTCACATTAGAAGTAATCTTAAACATATCTGCATGCAGATCTGCAAAACAAACAAAAAAACAAAAAACAAACAAACAAAAAAACCCTCTTAGAGCAATCTATACTCCTTTTAATCTGTGTGATAATACCTTGTAGACTTAACTCATTCAGTGAAAGGTTCATTTATGCAATTTTTACCCAGTGCCACCATTGACCACAATAGAAATTTCCATGTCTTTAAGGACCCACAGAACATCATGCGCTTGGACTAGAATTAAGTGCAATATCTCAAAAGAAAGGGGTGATTCTCTTTCACCAAAAAAACGTAAGTCTCTAACCCACTCCTGTGCTGAGTTATTGCCTGCTCAATGCAGCATGGTCATATCATCTTTGCCGATCTGGAAAAAGAAACTCTGGAAAAACACATTTTACGAAGGAGAGACTTTCAAGAAACTCTCTGTCTATTTCATTTCACTTCAAACTGCTTTACCAGTTGCATCAAGGTCCTCCCTCCTCGGACACCACTCCTCATCACTCTTGAGATCTGATTGTGATAGGTCACTTTGGCTCTCAACAACCTGACGCCGGGACGTAAACCACATGGATTGCTCGCACTCTCCTCGCCAGGACTGTCGCTGAATTCCCGCTGAGTCTCATTCACCAGTACCGGCACTGGCGGCACGCCAGAAATTTTTTTTCTTTGATTGTCTGCTGACGATGTGAAGATCCGGTACAGAGATCTCCACTGGATCCAGAGATGGTAGCACCTCGCCCTCGCACGATGCGCTGAGACCGTGTGCTCATGGCTAATGACATTTTCCTACTCTCCCCATAGAGAAAAAATACTCCACTGCTAGGCTAAGGGGCATACTTGGTGGCACACCTCTCACTGGCGAGTACTTGTTTTTGTTATTGTAACATGGTTATGATGAATTTGTCGGCTTTTCTGCATTCAAAACAACCCCAAACTTAGTCCCATGTTGGAGAGGAGCGCCCTCTAGCGGAAAACAAAAAATAAAAAACTGAAAACTCCATCAAAATCAGTCAATGGCACTCAGGGTAGATAAAAAAAATCTGTCCAAATCAGTCATTGGCACTGAATGAGTTAAGACCTGGTAATTTCAAACAAGCCCCAGAGAAAGGTCAATGTCCAATTAACTATGAAGCTGAGACTCGTCAAAACAGAAGATGTTTCAATTTGAAAGAATATGAGGTATGAGATTTTTTATTAGGCTCTATCGGTGAACTGGGAGAGCTGGAGTGTTATAACAGTTTGGCTTTATAACAGTTCAAAAAAAAGGAGATCAATAAATCATACTAGTAATACACACCACAGAGAGTGTAAAGCAAATACAGAGCTAAGACCACATGGGGGGCATTGAAAACATCTGCAAAAAAAGTGCTTGCGTGTTCTTATTATCCATTATCATTCTCATTATCAGCTCAGCAGGAAGCATCGCCAGTGAACTGAAGTGATAGAGTAAAAAAATAAATAAATAATACCCACACACACTTTACTGTTGGATTCAAGTCATTCTGTTTTTTTTTTCTGCACACACACTTACTTAGGGGAGTAATCTATATATTGAAAAAAAAAAATGCAACGCTTCATTTAACATTAAGAGACATATACATTGGACGTTATATGAGTCATGTAAGCAGTGCTATAACAGCCCTAAGCAAAAAGAGGCTGTGATATTCAGCATGTGCAGGCCTTTTTATTTCAAGCTGGCTGAGTTTGGGGCCGCTGGGGCAGGAAGCTCAGTACAGTCTGAAGTCTGATGGCAGTCGGCACAAAAAGAGCGCCTGAAGTGCTCTGAGCAGCAGCCGGGGAAGGAGGTGCTTTGTAGCTGGATCAGCACCCACAGCGGGGGGGCGGCAGGTTTGTTATGTGGTGTGAAACAAGTGGTCCTGGATTCAGCAGCGATGACACACACTCCCTCCTGTGAACCTCTTGGCAGACTTAAAAGAACACACACAAAACACCACTGGCATATCTGACATCAGCATATCGGCCTGACCGGGCAGGAAGCAGGGGTCTTACTGAGAGATGGACTCTACATCCAAATGTTTTTTAAGGGGAAACAGATTCTCTGAGCCTCTTTTGAGCAGGCTCTGGTTTTCTCTCACACTGTGTAGCTTTAAAAATACAACTCAGGACGGGACATCAGGGTCCTGCTAACTCTGTTGGGGTCCTAATTTGCTGCAATAACCTGCTCACTACAGACCCTTTTAAACAGTGTGAGGCGCATGTGTACATATTGGTAGTGGAAATTCAGAGGAGTGCAATAGTTTCCAAAATGATGCAAGAAGAAGACTGTAATATAAGAGTAATGCTCATTCTGTGTTTTTGGCTTACTAACTAGTAAAGTTAGGCTACTTGTTTGGTGATGCAGTTAACATGGTTTCTGCTTCTGTTATCCAATATCCTAACTTTAACACATGACTTACCTCTCTAACTCAAACCTTAATTCTATACCATCATGATTTAGTCATAACATGGGCTGAAGCCATCTTTTTTATAATCACACAGTGAAAAATTGGGTCCACTGCTGGTGTTTTGGTGTAAAATGTGACATTCTGGTGACTTCCAGCCGAGTACGAATCTTGCAAATGCCTTTTTTTCACAACTCAACAATTTGATGCTGTTAAGACTTGTGATTCAGTGGTTAAAGCTTGCTGACTCATCTTTCTGAACGGCTGGCTGTAACAGGGTCAATGCATTTTTTCTTACTGAGTTTATTTTACAGTGCAGCTGGATTTTCTCTACAGTTCATTAAGGGGCAAATTCACTGAGCACATCGATTACACCCAGTGTCTGCTATCTCACTATTTGTTTCACTGTCCAATTCAAAAAATCACATTGGGCTTTTCATGATCAGGTGCAAACTCATTACAAAACCCATTTTGTAGTTTGCTCGTGTTGGGTCAACATTGATATTTATACGCAGGAGACACTCTGCAATTGGATGGTCACATCACGGAAGACGACAGGCATTAATGAGAGCCTACCTCAATGTTTTTTCGAGGCGCGCTTCCTGTGATTGGTGCGGATCGGGTTCACACCAGAAGTAAAACGCTCTAGAGTTCACTTGCTAGCGGCCCAAGACCACCCCTACCAGGCTGACCTGAGAGCGGTTGACTGGTCAACACCAGAGTTCGAGGCCTCTGGTGTAAGGCTGGTGTGAACGTGACCTTACAGTAGATAATGAGCTGTGTGGGGAGAAGCCTTTTAACAGACAACTGCTTTTGGAGTTAGACACTGTATTTTTTGTCTTAATTGCATGGGTTTAAATGGCATAGAAGCTGTGCAAACTTTTTGTGAACCAGGCTCCAACTATGTGTAAAAAATTTGAAATATTTCCCTGTACAGAACATATTCTCATTTTCATCTACATCACAAGCATCAATCATAAAACTAGGTAATTCCCATTTAACAAAAATTATAAGGCAAAATGTTTTAATTTTTATTTGATAAGCATTTACAAAAATATGTTTTCAAATAAAGTGCTACAGTGTTTTCTCATAAAAACATGTTACCTATCAAACACAGTGAAGCCTCTGTTATCATAATGTAGGTGTTTTACTTTTCAGTATTAGGTGTATTTATTGTATGAGGCATGTACCTCTCAATTGTTTCAAAGGGTACAAAAGAAATGCGTGAAAACTCAATCCAGCCTTTCAATAATAGATCTTAATGGAAAACTGTGACTGTTATAATGAAATTGCATGCATGTATTAGTGCATGTAATTTCAGAGTGATTCAAAACAGGGTCTGACCTTTGAGTGCTTTAGTAGAAAGACAAAGTGATTCCAGGAAACCTTTTATTTCACCCATCAGTGTCACAAACACTGAAAACAAGATGAACTGATGGAGTAAAAATGTTTTCAATGACAGACAGTCTAACCAGTTGGTCAGACGATTGCAGCAAATCCAGCCTTAACCAATGATAGAAACAGATGCACGCAGCTTAATTAGGAGGGAAAAAGCCCACAAAGGAATGAAGAGTCTGCAGCAGATAATCTGTGGGGACCTTTGACAGATAGTAGCTTTCAAGCTTCTTACAAACTTCTTTAATTTTGTGTTGGCTCAGAGATCGCATTAAAATAATGGATGGGATGGGTGGTAGTTTTCAAGCAAAACAGCAAAAACATTAAAATTTTTGAATTCTGGTTTGACAAACTTTCCTTTGAGTGGTACAGCTGCAGCTCAAGAAAGACGCCTTCATTATCGAATTGTCCACGCTCGGCCCAGAGATGGTCTGTGAAAGATTTGCATCTGTATCCTTAACGTTCTGTGTTTTCTTTCAGGAGAGGCTGTTGGTTGAATTCAGAATAGAGCCGTGTGTGTTTTATTATGAATATCAGCCTTCATCTGCTCCTGAAGAAATCACTAGGATTATTTTAAATGAAACATTTCTCCAGAGAGTCTAGATGGCGTTTTCTGTCATTTTCACAAACTCCTGAGTTGATAGATCTCCCAACAACAACACAAAAGTTTTCAGGCTCTTTTTAGCATGCTGTGTTGTTGCAGCACTAATCAATGAAGCAGTCTGAGCTGGGTGATCATTTTTTTATGCTCATCCAGAGAAAATCCACTGCCAATCTAACATTCAATATTTTGTCTTAATAAAATATGGGATTTTCAGTCAATACCTGAATCCAGGTGCATTTCTAGTAGTCAGGCAGACTTCCAAATGTATAATTTCTGCATATTTCCTTATTCTCTTGATTTTTTAACGCTCTACACAACACGACGGGTCAGGTCCTCCAATGTGAATGCATCAATTCCTATTCCCTTTTTGTGGTTTTATTATTCACATTATTCCTCATTTGGAATAATGTCTGCCAAACCACAACCACCTTTGCTGCCCAAGGCTTACTGTACAACCTTTAATGGTTAGAGCAGTAAAATAGCTTCAAGATCATTTCAGCTATAAATGGATGACTTTGAATGTACTGTACAGTATATCATCTTTGGGGAAATTAACACTACAAGTTTTAATTACCCTGTCAATTTCATTCATTCCAACAGGGAACCAATTAATACATGTAATTGTGCTTGTAAAGCTTCTCATTAAAATAATTAAACAAAATTTTAACACTGTGCTTGTGTGAAGCGAGTGAGTGGGCTCTTCATGTGTGCTGCAGTTGTAGCTGTGATTTGACAAAAATATGTGATTAGTTATTGAAGAGGTGATGACGAGAAGATTATCAGGTGTTTACTTGGACACTCAAGTAGAAGACAGAAAAAAGGAAAAAAAAAACATCAATCTTTTAGCTCTCTGTGTGAGGCCTGAGATATCTGTCAGTTTGACATGTTTGAAGAGGAACTGATGGGAAACTTGTTGCTGCCATTGAGTCAGGAAACAAAGTTAGATCAGTGTTGTGTAACAGCAGGAAAAGGTGATTACTTTTTTTTTTAAATTAAGCTTGGAAAATGTTTTTTTTAGACTATGAAACCTGCCATTTAAAATGTGATAGCTTAGTGCATCAGGTGTTTTATTATTTAAAGGTCTGTCTCAGGCAGCACTGGACTTCAGATGATGCGAGGTCTGCGGGTGAACACACTCCTGGCAGTTTTGAATTGAGCTGACATGATGATTTCAAGGAGTTTTCTGTCAGTACATGACTGGAACCAAAGATACAAAATACAGTATTTATATCTACCTCTATCTGTGATCCTGCCAAGCAGTCCAGCTTATCTGTTCATGCTTACACAGACGATTCAGATCCTCATCATCTCATCTCACTGTTTTTGAGCAGAGATGCTTCCAAATCAAGTCCTTGTCAGATCCCCAGGCTGTGATATTCAAGTCAAGTCATTGTTGTTTATTACCACTGATTCACACTAAACTACTCACTTATTCACACTGATTGTGTGAGACCTTTCAGACGTGTAGAAAACACATTTCAGCTGTTAATGTTTGATTGGTTCTGTTGTTGTGTTGGAAGAATCAGAATAAAAATCAAATTAAAGAGCTGTAAGTCTCATGTAAATTTGCTCTATGGCTGTCCAATCAGGGAGTTAGACTTCTAGTTTCCACTGCAGTGAGATGACTGCAGGTGACGAATGTAAGAAAGTACCTGCAACTATATCTTGACTTGTACTGCTCTGCTCACCAGACATGGTAGAAAGAGGTTCTCCAAAGTTACTGGCCACTCAAATTCTTCACCGGCTTCAATTTTTTTTTTTTGTTGGAAAATCTGATTTTATTTAATAAAAAATGGCTTCAGTGTGCTCGAACTTACTTCAACTAGATTTAACACTTTTTAGTAAATGAAAATTGTTAACATCCAAATTAAGACTCAAGTCCAAACTCAGATTTTTAACACTGAAGGGCATTTTGAGTGATTTATTTATTTATTTATTTTTGGATGACACCGACTAAGAAAACTGAAATATTGACATTTTCTTCTTCCTTTCAGCACCTCTTTGGACATCTAGCCAGGAACTTTGGAGAAAAAAGACATCAGAGGTAAGCATGAGTCGGTCCTCACTTAAAACTGTCTCAATTGTTTGGTTATATACAGAAACTAACCAAAAATAAACCATTTTATCAGTATAAGTATGAATAAATGAATCAAGTTATTGTTAAACAGTCCAAAAATCAGCTTATTTAAAAAGCAGCAACACAGGCTGAAATGAAATTTAATCAAACCATTTAATTGAGTCACCACACCACTTACAGATTTTTTATGTAGTATTACTACAAAAACATTTTTAAATAAAGTTATTAAAAAACATATGATGAGTGAAATGAGGATTAACATTTTTGTGCTAATGAAAAAAATCCATTGTTTCTTTTTTATATATGAAACACTAGTCGACGTTAAAAAGCAGCAAAATTGTCTGACAGTTGTTTCTATGGAGCCGCTTATTTATCTGAACAATGATTAGAGAAAAGTAATTAGAACGACATAGATTGAAGCTCCTCATTTCAAATATACCTCATAAATCCTGTCACATGTCCACCCCTGCTCTTACATGCTGTGTGCTTTATTAATTTGTCCATCACAATAAGTCACATTATTTGTTCCCGTCTCATAATGAGATAAATGTAAAAATCATTTTCAGCTGATTGATGAGCTGATCTCTCGGTCTGCTTTCTTGATGGAGTTTATTCATGACACTGTCTCCTGGCTCCAGGAGTCCTTGGTAGCCTATACCTACCCAGTGAAATACCCTTATTATTAGATAGTTTAAGGAGAAAAAGTCAGCATGACCATGGATGTTCCAGCTTTTTCACTCCTCCTTCAGGAAGTCATTTTGAGCAGAAAAATGGAGAAATGTAGCAGCAGTGAAAAAGAAGCGTGGGAAAGGAAAGACAATCAGATATAATGTATTTTATACTCTCTACCCCCTCACTAACCATGGATACTAGTTATATGAGGCCGCCTTATTGTCACAAAGAATGCATCAATGATACACATAATTAGTCTTTTATTGTTTGAACTCTCTACATTTAATCAATCCTCACATTAGTTCAACACAAGCAGATAGAAATTAATGAATGAATGCCACTAATGAGTTGTTACTTTAAAGCTAAAGAAGCAAAACACCTTGCTAGTTATTAATAAGTGAAGGTAGCATATGTGGCATTTTAAGCTATATCAAAGTAGAAGATAGCCAGAGTGCTACGTTAAGAGCAGCAACCTCTACTTTACTTGAAGACAAAAGCTGAATCTAGCAAACTTTGGTAGAAGTGACGGAGCTTGTTCACTGAAATTCCACGAGGGCAGCATTACATGGGGACCTCCTGTGAATCGTGATTACCTCCTGATGTCAGTGTTCGGCAGATAGATCAATAAATACTTTATTTATCCTGAAAAGACAGTTTCTCGATCATCATCAATAAATCAATTCATAAAATGGTCCATAGAGTGCAGGAAATAATCAAAATAAAGAATTTAAGTAATATGTAATAAATAGTAAATGATAAACGAGAATGACAAAAAATAGCTGATGATGCTGAGGTTAAAGGTTAAGGCAGGAAAAAGCTGTGGCGCATCGGCACAGTCAGTAACGAAGTCTTTGGATTGAAAAAGCTGAAAATTTGGAGACATATTATGTAAACTTGATAACTCCATGTCATATAGATTTCATAAGATTAAACCCAAGAAAACAGTTTGTATTTGGCAAACTCCTAACTTTTTCTTCTCTGTGATCAGCAGTCAGAGATACTTAATCCTGTCTGTGTGAGTGATATGGTTGCCAAGCAACAATAAATAAATGGCTGCTTTCTTTAATTTGTACAGAGAAATGACATAGCGCTCCTTGTTTTTTGTAAAATAAAATAAAAAGGTTGCATACAAAGGCCATTAATCCATTTGTAGGACAGATACTATTCTGCAGTCTTAACTCACGCTGCAAAGCATGCCAACCATCCTCTCACTCTTCAACATCTGGATCTTTTGAGGGCTTCTATTTTGCCTTTTCTGCAAAAGCGTCTCTGTAAGAGTTTACAGTAGGATGTTCTTTCTGCTGGTCACACTGACTGGTAACTTTAGAAAAACACAAGAAAATAACACTTTAATCCAACAAAATAAACATTTTCTTTTATTATCATTCCGCCAAACAAATGAATACATACACACATCTTCAATTTACATTATTGTTATAATTTTTAAAGAAAAAAAGAGGCTGAAAAAAATCTGTAGACACTTGCTTGAAACAAAATCACCACCCCAAACGACCACGATTAGATTCAGCCTGGATTAAAATGATCAGAGCACCCCTGTGTGTTATTCATGGATGTGGTTGATTTGCACAGGATTGAAAACAGACATCATTAGTAATTAGTACAAATGATCAGCAGTCCCTAAGTAGTACCACTGCCATGAGCGAGGGGCTTAAGACACCACTGTGACAAAGAACAGAGAAAGAGTGAGGAACAAATTAGAAGTCTACAAATGTAGAAATTAGCTCTTTAATAACAAAGAGGAAATATAAAACCTGGGCTGCTGAATGGTACATTTTCTTAATCACAATTAATTTGATGAACTGCTACTGTTAATGGTGACTGATCACATTTTTAATCATGTGTTTAAAATTCCATTACACACATACAGAGCATTTTAATTTGACTTGTCAGCTGTGTTGGAGTGTGTAAAGTTAAACATGCCATTCAAGAGTGTGGTGGTGTCGTTTTCAATCAAGACAGCAGCAGACAGATGCTGCACTATGTATGGTGCGCTGAAAAGAAATGCCCTGACCCGGATTTGAACACAGGACCATCTCGCTGTGAGGTGACAGTGCTAACCACTACACCACTGTGCCGCCCTCGTATAATCCCCAATTTAAAATAAAATCAAATTAAAATAAATGAAGCAGAATGTCTCAGAACAGTAACTTCTTATTTACACACACAAATCAGTGTAAATGTCCCTTGTCTCACTTGAATACCTTAAACATTACATGATGCTGAGAAGCTGCACAGAAATTACCCACTGTCCTCATTATTCATTTGTTTACTTCCAGAAGTGTTCAGCATTTTAGAGAATTAGAGAAGTGCCACCAGGTACCTCACGTAGTCTGCAAAATACAATCGCTGACACTGTAAATATGTTTTTCTACTTTTGTTTATGACTGTGTACGTTTTAATTATGCCATGTAAAAAGTCACTTCGCCCTACATATGGTAATTTACAACATAATACATGTTTGACTTCTCTATCATTTGAAATAATGTTTTTCACTCGCTGAATGTGGGATCTGTCTTGACAGGCTGCGCTCTAAACCTTCCCCTTCTTTTTCAGGCCAACATGATCCTGAAGACAGCTTTGCCACCTGCAGTTGTGGTTTGCTGGCACTGTGCATTCTCATTTAAGTGCCTGGCTGCCAGGTATACCTTGCAAAACTGTTCTTTCCAGATCAACATCTGATATGACTGTGCAGCACTTCAGTACTAGTCATGGGGACCTGTTGTGATGTGTCCTGGTGACCAAAAAACAAAGAATAAATCGGTTTAGTCCTCAGAAAACCAAAAACTTCTGTTCAGATGCTGGTAATCTTATGTTTTTTTTTTTTTAACTAAACATAGTTCTTGTCACTCTTTTTCCTTCACTCATACAAATATAGATTGTTTATTCCATGGAAAACGGCATTAGTGGAGCAGTGTTACCTCACTCGGCTGTGGGGATCACCTCATGTAATCCTAGAGGTAGGCTGTTCTGCAGTGCAGGAGGCATAGATGAACCAATTAGGAGAGTCTAATGGAATGACCTCATTTATCCAGGGAGTCTCATAGACGGCTCAGTGAGATCTCGTGTGATTCTTCATCGATCAGTGTGCATCTACGTTGTAGGATTATTGCAACATGCATTTACCTTGGGATTTAAAAAAATTACTTACATCAAGTTTGGACGTTAATCTTTCACTGATGATACCCCCCTCTTTAAGTCTGAGACAACATTTAACTCTCCTGCCTGAATTATATCTATTTAGAGCGCCTTTTCTTCACAAAGTCATGGATGTCTCTGAATACCAAAAATCGACCACGCAGAACACAAGCCGTGATGCCATAACCCAAAGTGTCCTTGTGAAAGTGTGCACACTAAAGGTAAGGAACTCTGACAACCATTAAGTGCAGGGAAAATACAAAACATAAAAAAAGTCCTGCCAACTCTTTCAAAAAATAATGGAGCCATCAGCTGTAATGACATGGCCTCTGCAGCAGGAGACTCGGGGAATATTCAATCTGAAGGCTGTAAAAGAGCATTGTCAACCCTGTTAACAGCCGACCCCTAAAAGCAATGTCTAGTTACATGTGAGGACTTAACCGGTGGAAGCACTTCCTCTGTGCACTCCATCTACCCCAAGGAGATTGAGTGTGAAGATAATGCACCAAGAAAGATGTCATAGTCACAGCTTAGACCTCCCCTCCCATACCCGTGTAGTCGTACTCTGGAGGCATCAACAAGGTGTAGGGACAAGAAAGTGATAAATCTAATACACGCTGACTGAAAGCTCACACAGTCAGATGCTGTTAGGGCTTTTTTTTTTTAAATCCTTTTTCTTCTTCTTTATACCAGTCGAATAAGTTTTTCCCTCAGGCTCAAGCAGAAACAGATTTTTTTCTGTCTTTTCCACCTCGAGTGTGATAAAAATGATGCCTCGAAACGACTCCCTGTCAATGGTTATTGACGTCATTCAGATCGCTCCAAAGCCTCTGAGCTGAAGATTGCGTATGCATCACCACGCAGACGACCTTGTGTCTCTTAAAAGGAGCCGAGTGTCATGGCTATGGACAGTGATATGTATTTGACAAGGTTATTTCATGCGGTCACATGGGGGAAATAGAAATGTCGGCACATTGTTGTAAAGCTTTAATGTAAACAGATATTTTACATGCCTGCCAGACTCCGTCTAATATCAGGAGACTTCCAGCGAGCAGTTGCCTCAGGATCACATCTCTGATATTAGATTTCTAACAAATACATCACTTTTTTGTTTTGTTTATTTCATTTTTTTGGATCTGCAACACCCAGAAAACATAATATCACGACAATGGGCTTTAGTGTAGGAGACAGATGCAGTTAATTGAAGGGTTTAAGAAAAATGTTGAGTCATAAATCGCTGTATTTTTAGCATCGCAGATGTGTAGCGGGGTATTTGCCCGCCACTTTGTTCTTGCGTTGCGATAGTGTCCGCACATTAGCAATCAGGGCTATGTACTTTAAGGGTGACAGTAATGAATTACTTGCTCTTTATGGACAGCAGGGCACCCGAGATAAGTGATGTCTCTCCCTACAAATTATTCTGTTCCAAGACGTGCACTCTCACATCACTGAGGCACTGACAACCCTCCTGCTGATCCACCACCGGCTACACAGCAAACTGTGATTGTGTTTTTTAGATAATTATAAGTTCTGTGTGTTTCGATAAAACAGCTGATGGGTCTTTGTTGTGAAGTCTTAAGTGTTTTGAGAACGACTTCTTGGCACTTCAGTTAACTCATTAGAACAATAGAAGCAGCATTTCTTCACACAGTGTGAAAACTGCCCTTCTTAGTGGCACTCAAGTGTCTTAATAAATCCAATGTGAAAAATAATTTCAGAAAAGTGACTCAAATTATATCTTGTATCCAACAAATTATTGGGATTTTATGACAGTCTTCTTGTTCATCAACAGTTCCCGCCAGATATCATGTGTTTTCTGCTCGACAGTCTTACAGTAAATGCAGGCAAAAGCAACAAAATTCGCAACAACTGTTGTACAAGTTGATGAACTAGTTCACATTTAGAGTTAATTTCTATTTGAATTATAACTAAATTCATGGTCTAAAAAATTAACTAGTTCACATTCATTTTGTTTCAGGGGCAGCCTCCTCAATTCCTTAAAGTCCCACTCTGATTTTTTTTTTTTACTACTTAAAGTGTTATACGTGTTCTTTGAACAGTGACTATGAAGTTTTTAGCCAAAATCATGTCATTTTCAAGGTCTTTTTCTTCTGCAGAGCTTCAGTAGATCATTAGCAATTCGCCTATAAGTCGTGGGCAGAGACAGCACTGCTCTGCACACTTCTTCGCCAGTTAGCTTGCAGCCTAACATTGCCAGTGTAGAAGAAGTAGCAGGTAACATGATGAAAGCTACAATCATAATTAGCTTTCTGACGAGCATTTAAATCCGTTAACGCAGACGCTTGTTCCGTGATTGTCCTCTCTCTTTTTCCAAGCCTGGCCTGCAATAGCGCGGCTCTGGGGGCGGAACTTGGATTGGTTACGTAGGAAATCTCACTGTGTCTTAACCTGGGTCTGCCAGAGATTCACAGTGATTTGAATGCAGAAATACACAGAAATGCAACTTTGCACTTCTTTTTCTCATGATATGTCCTGTAGCATCAGAAAAATGCCATATGAACATGTAGACAACAAGAAAAACATGATTTTCATTGGAGTGGGTCTTTAACTAAATGTTTTATCAAATTTAGCTGGATCATAGACATGTAGTTTAAAGACCCAAACATTTCCATTAAAGTGTGTTTTACCATTTAATCCTGAGGAAAAGCTGCGGTTTTGAAATTCTGCAGCGAGTCACATTTGCTAGATCAAAATGTAACCAAAAGTTCTGACTCATAACCCAAATACACAGGAAAATATCTGCTTCCAAACAGATGATGTAAAAGAGATGATATTCACATCTTTAAAAGGGTAAAGAAACACTAGACAAGCACATCTTATAAAGTTTGACCTCTCTGAAACCAAAGGAGGTTTGAACTCATTGGGATCAGTCCTGACTTGTTTGTAGAGCTTCTTGAAATGTTCAACAGATCTTGCCCTTCACCACCACTTACGGCATCTGCTGAACGACAGAAGCAAGCTATGTGCTCAACAGTAACTTAAAACCTCTCAGATCCTCCCAGAAAGTGAGTGTCAGTTCACTGACTCCAGGGTGAACCACGCTCACTTTCCAGTTCGTGTATTAAAAATTCAGCTGCTCAGTTCACCTCTCACCAAAATATGAGCATGTTCACACACTTATAGTTAAACATATGAACTATATATGAAAGCATAAAGCTGGCAAGGTAGCACTTGTAGATTTAAGCATCTAGCAGATATATGACACACATGATTTTGGCCTTTATTGAGTATTAGTTTGCTCCTCTATTTTTCTGTAGCGGGTCCAAAGGGAAATACCAGGCTCTTCGTGTGCATACAGTTTTTCACAAACCAGGTTCAAACTTAACTCTAAGGTCGGAGGGGTGAATTAAGCTTTTTCTGTTTGAGATTATCTGCAGGCTGTGTCATGACAGGACAACTATGTACAGAGTTAAAGGTGGGGTAGGCAGGATCTGAGGAAGTGCCAGTTTTTGGGAGAAATCTTGATTGTAAACAATTCCCCTTCCCAACCAGTTTTCTCCTCAGCTCCTCCTCTCCCCTCCCTCTGAGCTCCAGCAACCCCCGCCCAAAAACAGACGCTCCTGCTTGCTCGTATCTTTCCAATTAAATTCAGATATAATGTAGACAAATACTTTAGATGATTACAAATGTGGTCCAGTCAACGTGAAAGTGAAAAGCATTGGTGCTACTGTAGATACCAACAGACTAGCAGCAAACACAATGTTTGCAGGACTTCTACAACTAGGATAAAGCGACATACTCCCGAGGTAGATCCCAAGGTAAACAGTTTAGCAGCGCAGCAGGTCCCGTTTGACAAGAAACACTTCTGTAACAGACACTTGGCTACTTTGTTAAAGTGGTTTACCTGTCCAGCAGAAAGGTTACAGG